TGTGAAGACTTACAGAAAACGTTTGACCTCTGTCATTGCCAACAAAGGGTATATAACAAAGTATTGAGATGAAATTTTGTTATTGACCAAATACTTATTTTCCACCATAATTTGCAAATAAATTCTTTAAAAATCCTACAATGTGATTTTCTTGATTTTTTCTCATTTTGTCTCTCATAGTTGAGGTATATCTATGATGAAAATTATAGGCCTCTCTCATCTTTTTAAGTGGGAGAATTTGCACAATTGGTGGTTGACTAAATACTTTTTTTCCCCACTGTAATTACTGATTATAATGACTTATACTGTCTTTTTACGCGTTGCGTTGCATTGCATCGCGGCGCAAAACTCTGTCTGCATTTGTGATCGGAGAAATGACAAACAACAAGTGCTACTCTACTGCCCAAAACTCGCGTTTGAAACATCAGTGGCAAATCCTTTAAATGAAAACGTACTTACGTGAGTCAGAACTGCCGGCATTGTAGTCAACTCTACCAGGATCAGTAAACAGTCCTCCATAAAATGTGCTGCACACATCTGGATATTTGGGGTAAACTGTTCTGGAACAGTGTGGTAAATTGTGTGGACCCCGGGCTGGACTCCGCTTTGTCCACGGTGAAAGTTGATGTATTCCCTCAGCGACCAGCACAGAAAAGCGCTAGGCATGACGAAGTGGATATCGTCCTCTTTTGGAAGACCAAACAAAGTAGTTTCGCTTTCACAACGAAGCACACAGCGTACATGGCTGCAGCGTCAACAATACTACAGCGAGAATAAAAGTTACGCTGCCTTTCTTTGCGTGAACATTTGGGCGGCGTTATGCAAATCTTCCCACATAGTGAGGTAGATATGTGGGGGCGTGTTAGAATGAGCCGTTTTAGGTAGGTGTGGCTGACTCTAAACTTTGATAAAGAATATCTCTTTGGATTTAAGACTTTAGTCTTTGCAACTTTACAGATCTTCTTTATGCACCAATAGCTTGTAACACTCCAAAGAGAAAGAAAAAATTGAAATCGCATCATATGACCCCTTTAATTATTTATTTTATGAGAATTACTATTATTGTGAATTTGTATGAGAGGTAATTTGTGATAAAATAAGTGTTTTAATCCTCTCTCTCTCTTTGTCTGTCTGCCTCTCTCTCTCTCTCTCTCTCTCTCTCTCTCTATCTGTCTGTCTGTCTGTCTCTCTCTCTCTCTCTTTATCTCTTTATCTATCTCACATGTTGATTGGCAGCTGTGTGTTGTGCCTGTGTTTCATTAGCAGTGACTCTGGTAGTTTATGAGGCCACACTGGCAGGACTGAGTAAGAGTGATGGAGCCCCAGCGCTCCGTCTGGCTCTCCCCACCTCCCTCAGGCCATGACAGATTAGCTTCACTTACATAAAGGCATGTAGATCATCTGCAATCTGGACCCGTGGCCCGCGCCACCAAGCCAGATAACGCTGAGGGATTGAGTTAGCCTTCAAATTGATTCTCCCCTCCACAGACAAACACTTCTTCTCCTTTGCTTTCTTCCCTGTTTTTCTTCTAGTTCTCGCCTCTCTTTTGCTCAATCACATTCTCTCCTTTAGGCATTGTGTCAGCTGTAGTTGTGCTTTGTATTTCATACAAACTCATATAGCTAGCAGATATATGTGCATTTTATTA